TTCGTGCAGACTACCGTGCTGCAGGACTTCAATGTGCGACAGGCCACTGCTGGTTGCCTTCGAGAGTAGACTCCGCAGATTCTGCCCCAAAGCCATATAGAAAGTCTCCTTTGAGCTGACCTCATAAAGAATGGACAGTCGGGACCAACCGTTGTATCGTAGGAACGTCCCCAGGGTTCTAACTAGCGTTTTGATCCTCAAAGGCAGAGAAAGAGCACAAACTTCCGGCGAATTGGAAGCACCCACGTGTGCTGTCCTTCTCTTAACTACGTCCGTCAAAAGTCTGTGTTGGTTCTCTGGACGACAAGTGTAATTGAGTTGGTAGAGACTGTGATAGGAAATGTCACTGAAACCGGAAGTGGCTATCCAGCCGCTGACAGATGGACATTCGCCCCCCAGAGTTGGCCCTAAAATGACGGAAAAGCCCGTTGAATTCCCCAATTCTTCGACTATTCTGTTGAGTGCTTTAATCAGAGTCGAAGCCCGATTGTCCTCTTGAAGAAAACATCCCGGAATATGTAGCCTTTGGACGTAGGCTGTGATATCGATGTTCCAGTTAGGCACTTGGATATGAAGATAATCCAGCGGCTGATAAATACTGGCAGGATAATTAAAAAGCAGAGTCTTCGGAATGCATCTGGTCGGTGCAAGTATGATCATTATTTTGAGGGGAATCGAAGGCAACGTTGTGTCCTCAACGCCACCCGCAGCAACAGCCAGTATAAACGTAAGAAGAATAAGGCGTTCTATGCCCATGCAAAACGTGCCTCCACTCAACGGCAAATGAACTGTCGTCATAAGAAAATACTTTTCGGCATTCGTCGCCGTCTCAATGGTGCGTTAATTTCAAGGAGGAAGGAACACACTGATTAATTGGTCCACATTATTCCAGCAGTGAGCCCTGCCAACCTAATAAGTAGTGCTATTAGCCATGTCGCCACTACGTCCCCCTGCTAAACACAAGCTGAGTAATAGAAACCTGTTAAAATGCCCATGGGTGGGAGGGATGCGGGACAAACGAAGGAAAGCGCGAAGAGATATCAAAGAGTTACTTATGAAAGGGTGAAAACAGTAAGTGGAATATTGTTGCGTGTGGGAAAAGAAACGGTATAAATGGATGCTTAACACGAAAGGGGGAGCGATAGATGCTGCCATCAAACAGTAGAAATGGTTATTATTCCTGTTGAGATGGCTAAAGGGATGCATGAAGAAGGTCTTAGCAGCAAAGTTAGGAGCAGATATAGCTAGCGGGACGAACGTGAAAATAGTAAGCACACTGTTCCGCAGCGAATAATTTCTACATGGTGTTCCAGATCTAAATCGGATATGTCCAGGGATCGGAAACTTAGCATTTTTTACGTATTCTGGGAAAGGGGTACAGGCGAATTATCATAGAAATGTCACGAGCACGTCACGAGACCTGTTCACCCTGTAATGATTGAGACTCAGTGAAGAGGCCGGCTAGACATTCGCATGTCGAGCAGGGGGATGTGCACAATTTAGATCCAACGAAGACAAGGGAGAGTAGAATGGTCATTTTTGGCTTATTAGATGTCGTCAGCTAGCCATAATTAACATCAAGACTGAGGTCCTAGTATTTAAATCCGATATCTTTGGTCACAGAATCCAATGCTCTGCCGCTGAGTCATGAGCTCGTTCTCCTGCCCTTTGCAAACAGGGATTTCAACTTTTCAGCTTTCCAATTTCCTCAAATTAATCTCTAACTCGACGTAGAGCAGCGAATTCAAGGATCTCCAGGTGTAGCCTAAAATTTGATATAGTTTAGTATATTTAGGGCAGTAGGCAATGCTTTTGAAGACCCTATTGAAACCAGTATGCACAAAATATCTAA